TGCGTGCGTGCGTGCGTGCGTGCGTGCGTGCGTATGTGCGTATGTGTTACATACATACTTGTATATATTTATATATATATCAAGAGTACATAATAGGAGATTACATATGTATAGAGGTACATAATCTCCTATTATGTACTCTTGATATATATATATCTATTATTATTTACCCTATTTTGCTGCTTTCACAGTTAGTTGTGATATAAATATATACATTAGTTAAACATGGAGACACATAATGCACCTGTTTGACCCACGTACCCGTGCATTGCAGAAACACTCGACGCAGGGCCGGCAGGCTGGCTTTGAGGATCAGATCGGCAGCTTCGCGAGCGATCTCTCGAGCGATCAGTATCGCGACGCTGACGGCAGGTACCGCGAGACTCACATCGCCGCCAGTACGACCGAGATGGCCATCAAAGACCTGGAGAAATTCTACAAGGCACTGGACCGGTGAGAGGCCGTCGTCATACCTTATATTTTATATTATTATATACATTAATATATTATATAATATAAAAATATATAAACATATAATACTTTATATATCATTAACTTCAGCAGCTCGCGGTGTGGCAGCCATCATCCGTAGCAGCAGCAGTAAACAACTAGTGGTTCAAATATATATACTATATATATATATATATATATCTATTATTGCATATATAGTGCTCTAGGCTACTGTTTTCTGTGATGCATGTGTGATTGAAAAGTCGTGATGCGCGTCTAATTTTGCGAAGCGGCGGTGATCACTACCACAGAAGAAGATGATGAAGTTAACAAGACCATTAAGGAGTGTTGGATGAGAACTTATAAAAGGAGAGTAACATAAAAACAAAAAAACAGTCAAGGCCACTCTCTACAAATAAAATTCAAATGAACTTTATGGTGAAGCGTGAAATTGGTAATTGTTGTTAACCGCAACCCTAGGAAATCTGCTAAATGTTGATCGATTATATTTGCATACTTATATTAATGTGTTATTGCTGGCTGAGGTTAATTCATTATTTGCTTGGGCTCGACAAGAAGATCTATACACTAGAATATCTGTAAATTGTTCGATCGTTATATTTTGCAACAACACAACAATCGTTTTATGCCGTTTTCCCTCCTACGCGGGGTGCGCCAGGAGCTCCCCATGACAGTTTCCTCCACTCTTGCATGGTCTTGTGCGTGCTTCCTCTTCAACCCATATTCTCTCATATCTCTCTCCACACTTGGTTCCATCGTTATATTTGCGCTACGTTATTTAAATGGTTGCTATTGCTGGTGATGTAATTCATTGACTTACTTGGCCTCACAGATATAGAGCACATTGAAGATAAGGATCGAGTGAGGATGAAGATGGGGCCGGCATCGAGAAAAATCACGCCAGCACCTACAACTACCGCAGTCAGCATGTGGAAAAATGACGTTGCTTTAGACATGAAGGGACGCCTGCCAGTGCCGCGCCAGAGGTTAGGTGATGTCTTTCCATCGAGAGTTTACTCTTGTGTCATGGAGATGCTACTTTGATGGACACCATGGAAGTGGATGGCCATGTATACAAGCAAATATAAGTCGTGACAGTTTCATATCTATAAAACACCACCATGGCCCAAGCGCACACACACCCACGCACGCACACAGCACAGACACAACACACAAACGCACCCAGGCACAACAACGCACGCACACAACGCACGCACACACACCACACACACCACCACACACACACACCCACGCACGCACACACACACACACGCACACAGGATGTGATGCACATAGCTGTTGTTTGCATCATCCATCAGGTGCTCGCTTCCCTCATCATCCGCCTAGCGTTGGCCGAGACATTCTGCCTCAACTGTGGCATCCTTGCCCTAGACGAGCCAACTACAAACCTAGACAGAGACAACATAGAGAGTCTAGCACACGCCCTCACCGAGTGAGTATATACAGTTAAACACATGCTACAGTTGCTAGCCAGACTCTTATAGATCAGTATCAGGGTTAATAATAGAAATTATTTGACTAATTACATGACATATATATTATCAAGAGTAGTAATAACAACGATGTGTATATTATCATACTCTTGATATTTATTATTATCCATATATAGTATTTGCCATAATGACATAATTTGTCATTATTAACCTCTGATAGTATCTACACCCATTTATAGACGAGATTTAGCCTTTCTCTCAAGTGGCAGTTATACTGTGAAACCGCCTAATGAAAGACCACCTATAAATGAAAGACAACTGTCTATAAAGGAGACTTGTGCTTTCCTTTTAGTGACCCTGACGTGTGCTGTGCCTGCATGCACTAGTAACGCCAGCAGTAATTAATGACATAACCCTTGTAAATGCGTGTAATAACTAAATACTAAATGTAAATAACTGATGTAATATCAATTGCAGGATCGTGACGTACCGCAGCCAGCAGCGTAACTTCCAGCTGCTCGTCATCCGCACGACGAAGGACTTCCTAGAGATCCTCGGACACGCCGGATTCGTCGACAACTACTACCGCGTCAGCAAGAACGCAGAGCGTAAGCGTACGCGCGAGCCGTAAGAAAAGAGCGTAAAGCCGCGAGTGTAAGAAACAGAGCCCGTAAGCACGAGGTAAGAACAGGAGCGTTAGCGCCGAGCCGTAAGAAACAGACGTGTAAGCACCGAGTTGTAGAACAGAGGCGTAAGCGCACGAGTGTTAAGTAACAGAGCGTAAGACGAGCCGTAAGAACATGAGTGTAAGCCAGAAGTGTACAGAACAGAGCGTAAGCACGAGTGTAAGTAACAGAGGTAAGCGGCGAGCAGAACAGAGCCGTGAAAGCCGCGACGTGATAAGAACAGACAGCGTAGCACGAGCGTGGAAGAACAGAGTGTAAGCACGAGTGTAAAGAAACAGAGCGGTAAGCGCCCCAGAGCGTCGACACCGCAGGGACCCCGTCGAAATTTAGAAATTCTGAGAGCGTTGGCCGAGCGTCGGATTGCACGCTTACATTTCGCTCCCCGGCAGACGTATTGCGAATACGGATTCCTTACTTATTATGAATGCTTTGCTTCAATGCTTCAATTAATATAGACTAATTTCTGAATAAGGGCTACTGGCTTTCGTATGGATTGGCACCTGCTGTTGTGTTTTAACGAAGGTGGTGGTGATTGCATGGCGTATTAGGTAGCGCTGTGCATCTAGTAGTAGTAGTGGGGCTGGAAGTCGGAAACAGAGAAGTAATCTATATAGTCACGCTGAACTATTTGTCATTGTCACCTGCTTTTATGACAGAATCGTTTGTCGTTTTCTTCTCTGCAGCGTTGTCGATGCTCAGCAGTGCAACATATCAGCAATCAACGGGTGATGTGTTCTGCATCTGCGCAATGTAGCATCCCTGATGACTCACACTGTTCTGTGTTGATGACTAACATACCTGAGTACGTCCAGCCTAACCTGGTGACGCCCAGCCTACATAATTTTCTTTTTCTTTCTGTGACACCAGCATACTGCAGTGACGTCCAGCATACCTGAGCTGACGTCCAGCCCATACCATAGAGTGACACCGAGCCGTACCTGAGTGACGTCCAGCATACCTCGTGACACTCAGCCATACCTGCGGTGACACCAGCATAGCCTGAGTGACGTTCCGAGCCATAACCTGAAATTGCACACTCAGCATACCTGGTGACGTCCAGGCGTACCTGAGTGACGCCCAGCATACCTGAGTGACACCCAGCGTACCTGAGTGGATGCCAGCGCCATACCGGCGTGACGCTCCAGCATACCTGAGTTGACAACCAGCATACCTAGTGCACACTCAGCATACCTGCGTGACACCAGCATACTGAGTGACGTCAGGCTACCTGAGTGACGGTCCAGTGTACCTGAGTGACGGTGACGCTCCAGCCGTACCTGAGTGACGCCTCAGCATACCTGAGTGACACCAGCGTACCTGCATGGACACCCAGCATACCTGAGTGACGTCCAGCATACCCTGAGTGACGCTCGCGTACCTGATGACGTCCAGCGTACCTCGAGTTGATGCTCAGCCATACCTGAGTGACACCCAGCATACCTGCGTGGGACACCAGCATACCTGAGTGACACCCAGCTGTACCTGAGTGACGCCAGCATAGCTGAGTGAGCTCCAGGTACCTGAGGTGACACCCAGCATACCTGAGTGGACCTCCAGCATACCTGAGTGACGTCCCAGCGACCTGAGATGACACCAGCATACCCTGAGTGATGCCCACGCATACCTGAGTGACGTCCAGCATACCTGGAGTGACCAGTCAGTTTAACCTGAGTACGTGACGTCCAGCGGACCTGAGTGACTGCCCAGCATACCTGGGACACCAGCGTTACCTGAGTGACGTCCAGCGTACCTGAGTGACGCCCAGCATACCTGTAGTAACGTCCAGGTACCTGAGTGACACCAGCGTACCTGAGTGATGCCCAGCATACCTGAGTGACGTCAGATAACCTGCGTGATGGCCCAGCGTACCTGAGTGACGTCCAGCGCTACCTGAGTGACACCCAGCATACCTGAGTGTAGCCCAGCCATACCTGAGTGAGAACCAGCATACCTGCGTGACGCTCAGCATAACCTGAGTTGAATGCCCAGCTACCTGAGATGACAGTCCAGCATACCGGAGTGACACTCAAGCATACCTGGTGACACCAGCATACCTGAGCTTGACGTCCAGCTAGCCTGAGTGACGGTTCAGTGTACCTGAGTAGACACCAGCGCTACCTGAGTGACGTCCAGTAACCTGGTGACTGCCCAGCATAACCTGAGTTGACGTCCAACATACGCTGAGTGACACCGGCATACCTCAGTGACACCAGCGTACCTGAGTGGCACCCAGCGACCTGAGCTGATGCCCAGCTACCTGAGTGATGCAGCATACCCCCCCGAGTGACGTCCAGCCATACCGTGAGTCACGCCCAGCCAAACCGGGTGACCCCAGCATACACTGAAGTGACACTCAGCATACCTGCCGTGCGACGCCAGCATACCATGAGTGACGTCCAGCATACCTGAGTGACACTCAGCATACCTGCGTGAACGCCCAGCATTTACCTGTAGTGAACGTCCAGCATACCTGAGTGGACGTCAGTGTACCTGAGCTGACACCCAGTGTACCTGTCAGTGACGTCCAGCGTACCTGAGTGTGCCAGACATACCTGAGCTGACTTTCCACATACTGATGACACCAGCATACCTCAGTGACCCCAGCGTACCTGAGTGGCCCACCAGCGTACCTGAGTGATGCCCAGCATACCTGAAGTGACGCTCCAGCGTACCTGAGCTGACGTCCAGGCTACCTGAGTGATGCCCAGCTACCCTGAGTGACGCTCCAACTACCTGAGTTGACGCCCAGCCATACCTGAGTGACACCAGCGTACCTGCATGACACCACAGCGTACCTGAGGACGTCCAGCATAACCTGAGTTGACGTCCAGCTGTAACCTGAAGTGACACCAGCCGTAACCTTGAGTGACGTCCAGCGCTAACCTAGAGATGATTGACCCAGCATACACTGAGTGACGCCAACATATTTTTCTTGAAGTTGACAGTCCCAGCAATACCTGAGCTGACGTCACGTACCTGAGTGACGACCCAGCATACCGCTGAAGTAGATGCCCAGCATCACCTGAGTGACGTTCCAGCATAACCTGAGTGACGTCAGCCCATACCTGAGTGACAAACCCAGGTACCTGAGTAAGTCGCCATACCTGAGTGATGCCTCAGCATACCGCGTACACTCAGCGTGCCTGAGTGATGGATGGCTAGCTTTCATGAGTGCCCGAGACAACGTGATTTACAAATACCAGATGTGATTTCAAGATGGACATGAAAGAATATGCCAAAATATGAAGGAATGATATAATTTCAGTGATAATTGATAAATAATTATCACATTACGTTTATTAGTGAAGTAAAAATTGTAGCAAACTATAAAAAAAAATAACAAAAAAAAAAAATTAAAAAACATAAAAAAAAAATGCCCCTGAACGTCCTGGAATTTTGTCCTTTTTCCTTGAAAGTCCTTAATTTGTTATTTTGTCATTGATAATTCCTTGGAACATATGTCCCAAGCTCCTTAGTTTATTTGTCTAAGTAC